TAAGTATATTTGAAAATATATTTTAACATGAAATCGAGAATTGGGTTAAATCTCGTTAATCATACATGAAAGTTTCTCTTTGAGTTACCCGTTATATAAAATACATGTTTCGATAATAATAGGTATTTCTTTAAAAGAGAAACTTGACCCGACTTTCGTGTCCAAAGTTCCTGTTTAATTTTGAACATTTAGATTGAAATATTAAAATATCTGGCATTTATTTGTTCAGTCACGAAATTCCGTCAATTATTTATTCTTTGATCAAATTACAAATTACAACGACAAACGAGATGGCATTTCTAGCACGTCAAATTAAATTTCAGAAATATTCAACACACAATAATCACATTTACAATAAGATCCGTTTATTTGCATGGACAATTGTATTAATATGTTGAATATATGTACATACGATACGAATGTATAGCATAAACTCGAGCATTGCAAATATCAACAGCCAATCAAATTGCTTCTGTAGTCAGCTGATCGATCAATCAGTAGAATATCCCAGCCAGTAATCGGACCAGCCTCTCCTAACCTCTCTAAAAGTAGTCAACCTCAGTCATTTAGCATTAGTACATAAAGTATTTAATTATTTATTAATTCATAAATTATTCTATATTATAATTAGATTACGGATGTCTAAGCAAATTGATATTTTTATGAACAATACCAACGAACAAGACTTACGAACAAAGTGAAATATTTTTGTATTATTTCTTAATATTTCTTAATTATTTTATATTTTTCCTCTGTAATCTTCGATTAACAATAATTTGAGTAATTCTCTGCTAATAGCAAATTTTTCCTATTTCAGGTAAAGCGGTACCATTTGTAGAATTGACTGTGGCACACGCTTCGGTTCTAACGATCTTGGCGATCAGTTTCGAGCGGTATTATGCAATTTGCGAGCCCCTACGGGTTGGGTAAGTAAAGGAAATATTTTATAGAGCACTATCTCACAAGTAAACACGTAGCATCTTTCTGTGTGCTTTCGACAAATACAGAGACAATTGGTTTTGAAATAGTTACGAAACCGGTCACGAACCGTGTGGCGCTCCCAAGTAAACAAAATACTAACTTAAAGCTTGAATCGTAGCGAGTATATTACGTTCTCTGTAACCAGGAAAGTATCAATTTGAAAAATTTGTCAAAGTGAGTTTGCAGGTTTAATACTTATCGAGTGGAGCGCTGATGAAATATAGCTTAAGTATGAGTCAACGTGTATACTTTATACACATATATAAAATATATATATATTATATGTAAATTCTATAGAATTCAAACTACCCGCCAACCCACATTTTTACTTCTGTTTTGTTTTACCGGCAGTCAGTTTAATGAATAGGTTAGATCACGAGAGATGAACGGTAATTTAGGACTTAGAAAATCGATTCTCGATTTTCCAGGTAAAATTTCTAGTAGATTTGTTATTACCTGTTATTGTATATAATTTAATTTATTCCTAAAATAAACTTGATTTTCCAAAACCGATCGTCTTTTTTAGCCTCAGGATTTACGTTATTATATACAGTGATTGGTACAAGCGGAAAGAGGGTGATTCTATGCAAAAAAAGAAATCGAAAATATGAAATAAAAATTTTTCATTTGAGGCTTTGTTTTCGAGAAAATCGACTTTGAATTTTCGCTCGGTACGCGTGCACTTTATCATGTCTCGATATAACGGATCTCACTGTAGATCGTTGTCTCGATGGAAAAATTAAAAAAAAAATTTATTTTTAATTTTTATTATATATTTTCGACTTCTGTTTTCGCGTAGAATCACCCCCTTTCCGCTTGTACCACCAGTTACCAACCACCCTGTATATGAATATACTACGAAATACATCGGCTCACGAAAGTATTCGAACACTTGCATATAGAAACCTGTTATGTGCTATATCATGTGCTGTACAATACGTGGTGACAAGTTTCAAATTAGGTCAATATGAACCGTTTATTTTGGAAACGGTGTAAGTCCATGTTTTGAAAAAATTGAGAAAACGAAAAATTTTTTTATACAATTTCTAATTTATATCTTAAAAAATTCGTTTATTCCAATCAATTGAGATTTTGTTAGTAATTGTCATTGCATAATCGTTTATTTTGAAAGTGGTGTAAATCCATTTCTTGTAAACTGTACTTTATCCAAGTAATCCGGGCACCAATAATCAAAAACAAATGATTGCGAATGTTATCCTAACTTCTGTATCTGGCATAATATTGCATGTACGGATGTGGAAAAGTTGTTCAAATGCAATTCAGTAATATACTGATAAATTATTATTACATTCCTTGATTAATTATTACATCGTTTAATTAAATTGTTATAATTAAAGGTAATTATTATTACATTTAAACTATTATTAAACTGTTAATAATCTTACATTTATATCGTATCGAAGTACAAACCTAAAACTGAAGGAAGTATTACATATTGTTGTTATCTTCCTTACTTTTCTCATTAAATAATTTTGGATTAACATTAGAATCTAATAGTTATACGGATATTTACTGGAATCTGACATAATAATATTATGATAATTTAAATTTATTTAGTTATATTCTATTTATTTTCAAATATCACACATATAAATATTAAATAACAAAAATTTAATGAATTACACAATTCTTTAATTTTAGAAGTTGTATAAGTCCATTCGTGACCCTGAAAAAGATATTGATCTAATTAATTTCAAAAAGAACCATTTGTTAAATTTTGAATTTAATTTTGGTTAAATTTTTTTGATTTTTTATTAAAATCGAATTTATATTTACTTAATACGTAGAAACTTAGACAAACTGAGTTTACTTTGCTTACTAACCTTTATCAGAATTTTTCAATCGATGGGAACACGTACACTTCGATATTTCGAAACAAAGGGAAATGGACTTACACCACTCCCAAAATAAACGGCCCATATAATCACGATAATCGATTCTCGTTATAATGGCAATGAAATTTCAAAATTTATACACACAATATATACATATATTGTATACCTGTGTTTAGTCGCGTATTCGTCCGTTTATATAAAAATATGCCACGGTAAAAGTCCCACGCTGCATGTTCTATCCAATTCTTTTCTGATACAATAATACTCACGTTCCGAAACAGACACTGTGAAATTCAATCGACAGGAAACTAACCAAACATTCGATCTATCGAAATTCCACCAACGAACGAAAGCGACGACTCTGTTAAAAACAAAAGTACGTTACTCTCCTATCTCTTGGTGAAACGTATCTGTCGAAATCATTCATCCCTTTGAAGTAGTGAATTGATGCAGAACTCGTGCGTGACTAACCGTGTGCGACACCGTGTCAGTTACGGTTCCCACTTATTTATTTTTCAAATCAAACCAAAAATAATAGTTACTTTTTAAACCTTTACGAAAACAGGAATTGACGAAAGGTATTTTTACATAGGTATATGTGCACGAAGGCCAGAGCGACGTTTCTTTGCTTCGTCGCGTGGGTTGCGGCGGCGCTTTGCACCAGGTGAGACAAATAAAAAGAAACATCGAATTGTTACTTCGCACTTTTCTTTTATCCGCTTTCTTCGCTGTTGACGCATACCATGCTTTCATTCGCTTCTCAATTCTTGCACTTCTTCTTCTTCCACTTCTTTATTTTTCTTTCGCTATCTCTTTGTTCCTCTCCATTCTTTTTTTCATTCGCCCTTGATGCTGCATTTCTATGTAACGGAAATATCCAGAATATTGCAGTCTGTTCATTCGAGAGAAACACTTGGAATGTCAGGCCTCTTCTTTCTCCATGAATTTAATATTGTACAGTTTGAAACTTTGAAGTGGCATTCATAAACTTCGTGCAAAGGCAATTAAACGCAAACTCGTTTTTCTGTTTTTATTGACTGCGTTTGTCGTATATTTCAGTTGGAACTACTTAATATCGCGATATTTCGAAGTTTTTTATTGCAATATATTAACAGCCTTTAATTATATATTACGTTTTTCGATAAATAAAACAATATCGTACGCATGATAATTAAAATCAAATTCATTGAATTTTTATCTTTACCTTAACCTACTAACCAGGTCCCATAAGCAGAAGTTTCTATGATTAAGAAGTTAAAACTTAATAGAGATAAATTAAATTTAATTAAAGGTTAGTTTTAGCTCTTTCGAATGCAAGTATGACATAGTTCGTTTTTAATAGAAATGAAACGACATTAAAAAAGATAGAAAATCCCTAAGTAAAGAAATTATTTTGTCCGAGGCTATTGGCTCTTTGGCTATTAAAATTACGAGTTGACTGGTCTTTCTCGATCAAAAGTGTAATTGCTGAATCTAGTCATTCTACATTTTAAGATTTCGGTAAAATTATTTGTCAGAAACGTATAACTGAGGTTAATTACTGTAGTTGATAATTCTCATCAATGTTCCAAATCTATTTTCCTATGAAATCATTCCATAGTGTACGGAAGGGCCGCTTACATTTTCGACTCCCGAGACGATTTTCAACTTAATTGCCAGAGGGCGTAAACAACGTGTTAAAGTGGCGCAACACTGTGGCGTGAGCTGCAAACTGCAGTGAATCACGCAGTTGAATGTCGTGCACCAGTTACGTAGGCAATAACGTTCGTCCTATTAAGCACGTTACTTACCCGACATTTTTCCTTATTTATTTTTCCGTTCTATTTTTATACCAATTGTAGCTTGACGATTGAAGCGTTTAATTAAGCACCACGGTCACGCTTGACGATTTTTTGTCGCGATACAGATAATCATTGAAACGGCAACGTGACGTGAGATATGAATAAATGAAACGTTGAAACATTAAGACTAATAGCCAAAAAAGAGCTATTTAAACATTTTGTAATTTCCATTTAGAGATGAACGCGTTTTAACACGTATCGATATCGACGAAGTGATCTCCATATTATATTGGTAAATTGTAACATATGCACCAACCACTGCACAAATATCTAGATATGATGGAACTTTCTATAAAAATGCGAAAAAATATACTTCTTTATACTATTTATGATATTTTGTGATTTGTATCTAAAAATGAAGATTCAACAAGTATTAACATCGATGAAGTGGTCGTTATATAAGTAAATTAGTAAACTGTGATATGCGTGCCAACCATAACGCGTAAAAATCAAAAGATGATAGAACTTAGAAGATATTGGTTTTTTAAGCTATTGACATTAAAATATTTATAAAAACAAACTGAAGTAAACTTTTCAATACCGCACTATGCGATCTATCTTCAGGAACATTAAAGAGAAAAATAGCTGCGGTTAACCATTTTTAACAGTACTAACGATTTTTTACCGGTGAAATATGACGCCACAGAGGTAGGAGAGCGTTGAAGAAGAATCGAGGATACGTGGAAGCTAAAAGGCAGCTGTTTCTCTCAATTACAATATATATATACATTGCGAAAGGGAATTTTACCGAAGACGATAGTAATTTAAAGCCATATGTTACCATATCATTGTACGCGCGAGAAAAAGCTTCCCTCAGGGATATTTTCCGAGGAAATCCGGCTGTAAAAATCGATATGGAGTGGCGATGATAAGAAAATCACGACGGTGACCCGCAAAACCTTAATGGTCCGTAAGACATCCTCTGAAAAATTTCTGACTTTACTCCTGGTGATAAACGAGCAAGGATTATAAATGGAGGGATAACGAGGGCAGAATATGATGACCTAGCCAGATGGAAATTAAAAGGAAAGCTGTAAAAACCACTGTAATACGTTCCGAGTTTTATTTTACGATTATTTCTCTGTTTGTGTTATTGCCGAAGATTTACTTGTCTTGTGAGAAAGTTTTAAAATTGAGATTCGTTTAACTCGTATTGACAGTGATTTTGACTTTTCTCGCGTTAGTACCACTGCTAATAGTTTTTATAATTTTAAAAGTTCCTAGATACATTAATTTACATTAAATTACCATGCACTATTAAAATATTCATGTTTCAATTCAATTTCATTTATGATTAAATGTGACTCTTAAATATAAATATTTCATGCTTAGGAACATAGTTTAATTATTTAGAATAGAATATCTTCAAACCAAATTAGAATCATCCAAATACGCTAATCATTATTAAAGGCTGATCCCCAAGCGCGCGAAGAAGGGCTGGAAGAAGGATGGTCCTAATAAAAGTGTGGATACTCTTCTGGAATTACATTAGTAATCTCATGAATAAGCCTGTAATGCAACCATTCTTCCGGAGCATTAAGTAAAATCGCTATGCGTAGCCACTTTATGTAATTAAATTAAATGCGTGGCTAGGAAACAATCAAAAAGAATATTCAGAAAGCTCACATATATCCTAAGATACCTGAAATAATCAAAACTTAGTCTTTTTCTTTCAATGGATTGGTAGCGATTTGGTTTAACGAGTTTATAAAATTGAGAAATTTTTGAGAGTCCATATTACTAACTTCACAACTACGATAGAACTTCACAAATCCCGAAAGCTCCAAGCACACAAACCAACATCGTCTTTCAAATAGAAATTCCTTCAACGAACACTTCAAAACTTTTTACTAAACTCCTTCGACACTTGGTAGAAAGTTTTCTCGACAAAAGAAAAGGTTTAAACTTATTAGATCTATCGGTAGTTCGTTCGAAACGCAATAATTGGACTGCGAATACTTCTAAAAACTTATATTTTTATAAACATAACTAGAGAAGTGGAAGGGCCTACGTATTTATTTCGGTCCCTAAATATCATAAGGAATACTGTTTTGCGATATTTTATATATTGTTACAGGTTATGTATATCTACGCATTTTTACATTCTTACCCCTCAGTGGGTATCTCGGTGACGCATAATAATTTGGTGTAGGTTATTTAATCTTAAAGTATTTATTCTAATTTGTATCTTCTGATTTACGTGATAAATATCGTTAACATATCTTATTGCGTAAGATATAGGATATAAATTAAAATGAAATAACCTAACCTAAATAATTGTTATCATTTATGACTCAACAATACCAATTAAAAATTAAATATTTTATAAATATTTAAATATCCGCAGTCCAGTGTTAACAAAGAAAGTCGACCATATATTGCTGAAAGTATTTAATCTTAAAGTATTTATTCTAATTTGTATCTTCTGATTTACGTGATAAATATCGTTAACATATCTTATTGCGTAAGATATAAGATATAAATTAAAATTAAATAACCTAACCTAAATAATTGTTATCATCTATGACTCAACAATACCAATTAAAAATTAAATATTTTATCAATATTTAAATATCCGCAGTCCAGTGTTAACAAAGAAAGTCGACCATATATTGCTGAAAGATTCGATTTAAACGAGTCATAAAATCTACCTGGTGTTTCATCCACGTTCGAGTTGGCCCAAACGAAGAAAGGCAACGTGTATCACTGGTCATAAAAGGAATATCGCCTGTGAACCACTTCTGAGGAAGTTTTACACATCGGTAACACTTTTTTCCTTTCGTGGATCACGAGGGCGCTGTTACTCGGTTCAAAGACGAGGCCCCCTGTTCGCTGAATTTATGGCTCGGGAAAGCAGTCTGTGAAAAAGCTGCTGGAGGATCGTCTTCCAAGGAAAAAAAATATCGAAGAAAGAAAGAAGAGTGGCATTAGGTGTCGTGGTGAAAAAGAACAAAGCTTTCGAGGAAGATGGAAGGCAACCCAGATGGAGATGGCTTCGCAAGAAAATTATTGGGCGTGTTTCAACATAGAATAAAGGTTGAATTGACTTGCGTAATATGATGGAAAGAAATGATTCTATACAGAATTAGTATAAAATGTTGTTTAGTACTTAGAATATTGAAAGGTTATGTTTTACGTTATGTTTCGTTGCACTTTATTAAGTAGATACAATCTGGAACAGTTTCAGTTTTTTAATTGACTGAAGAAATATTTAAATTTAATTTCAATCATTCGTTCAAATAAAACTTATCATATAAACATATTCTATTACTGGTAGAAAAAGATTCATCAATTTCTAACTAAAAAGTGAAAACTAGATGATGTGAAACTACTTAGGAAAATGGCAAGGAGGTTATATTATAACTTCAATTTAAAAGACAATAATTCTTTCGGATAAATTCCAAGGAAGAAGTATTTAAAGTTTAAGAACTAAAAGATCCAATAATCCTAAATCCATCGCAAATTCTACATACTTTTCTGAGAAATTTATAAATTGCACTTTCTGTAACCAGTCGTGACAGTATATCAACTTCCTAGAATTCCAGTCTCAGATTGATTGCACAAGTGCCGAAAAATTGGAAGAAAACAGAAGTTAAAGGGAAAGTAATAGCTCGAGATATTCAAAAATGTTTCGCCGAATCGAATTTCTGGGGCAAAACTTATCAATGGTAATAAAGGACTAGAAAATACAACGCTACTCCTCTGCAATATAAATACTTGTATATGTTCGTCCGCCACTGTTTAACGTACACTACCGCCCTCTGAAATCGTAATCTCGGATTTTCGACGGTGTTATTGATAGAGACAAAATACATAATCCACATCCATAGATTAGGGGATTAGACGGATGCCAGTTGATAGGAAAATTTTGCTCCCGTGCCTACTCGGTAAACAGAAAGTCTCCGAATACCTTCTAGCAAAAGGAAAGAAAACATTGAAATTAACTGAAAAAGTTTGCTTTCGGAAAAGGAAATGGCAAAGTAGAGATTAGAAATATATATATGTTATAAATTCTTTAACCATTTATGATCAACAAGTAAACAAGTAAATATTTTGTTCAAAGGGAATTTCATAGCATTTTTTAATAATATCATTGATTTGAACGTAGATGTAACACATCTTATGGAAATCAATTTTGGCTTTTAGAAGACATGGTTGCTTAATTCCTATTACATGAATTCTATCATATTCAATATCTGATATTCAAAGGAGTTTCTCTTAGAAAATCAACATTGTTTCCAAGAAGAAAAGATCGACATATTGAAGATAATAATATGAAAAAATGATCAAAGTTTATCTTCAGTCTGATCTTTAAAACATATTGAAATACTACTACAGAGAGAATTTATTTAACCACTTATCTGAGTTTCTATTAAATTTTGTGTTTAAAGCTTTTATTCTCTAGTAGAGATGGAAAAAATAAACGTAGCCCATCCAGTTCTGAGATTCATTCCAACGATAACGAATCTGATTTGTGAGCAGACCTTCGAACACTGTATGAAGTTTTCTAACTTGTACTAAGCGTGCAAAACGTAATTAGTCCGCGAGATGGTGCTTTGTCAGAAACTGGACATAGAAAAATACAATTACATTGTGAATAGACAAAAAAATATGAAATTGCTAAAAATTGGCAAGGAACTTTATTACGTCCATTCGCTAGAAAAAGTACAAACAAAATGGTCGTTTGAGTGAGGTCAAAATTGCCAGGAGATAACGACATAAATGGAGCAGAAAGGTCCAGGATGAAATCAGAAAAAAACCAGAGATGTAAAACTCGGTTAGAAGAGAACTACAATTGAATATATGAAGGAAGGAAATATATCGTAGAAATGTTACAATGGTACTGTTTGAAGGCTTCAAGTTACTTAGGACAGGGTAAAAGAGGAAAGTAATTACCGAGTTTATTCCTGAGGGACCTATCAGCAGAGGAGATATTAAACAGGGGATCACCTTTGGATCTTGGTGTGACGTCTTGGTGTGATAAGAAACACGTTTTCCAGGTCAATGACGTGCGGTAGATTTGAAAGTAAATTTAGGGGAAGAAATTGCAATTTGTATGTACAGGTAATTTAACCTATAAAGCGATAGAATATTATGATTTAAATTTAAACCTCAAATACAAGCATAAAAATTTGAATTTAGATAAGCACAAAAGAAAACAAATGTCAGGTATTGTTTTAGATCTTCAGAAATCAAATACGAAATATTTTTCTTTCTTTTAACATTGCAACTCGAAGAAATAGGAAAGAAATACATTATAAGAGACAACAAAAGAAACTAGAAATTGAAATCGAGCGCAGGAACTGTTGCTTTCCAACATATATATATATATATATATATATATATATATATATATATATATATATATATATATATATATATATATATATATATATATATATATATATATATATATATATATATATATATATATATATATATATATATATATATATATATATATATATATATATATATATATATATATATATATATATATATATATATATATATATATATATATATATATATATATATATATATATATATATATATATATATATATATATATATATATATATATATATATATATATATATATATATATATATATATATATATATATATATATATATATATATATATATATATATATATATATATATATATATATATATATATATATATATATATATATATATATATATATATATATATATATATATATATATATATATATATATATATATATATATAGAATCATCCTCGATTATTAAACTCGGAAGCCAAGAAAATCGTGGTAACAGAAACCATCGTAGTAAATGAATTGAGTTTCGGTTCTAACGGCAACCTACTACAGCGAAATTAAAAGCAGAAGATGAAGTCAAAGGTAAAAATAAACATATATATAAACAACGAAAAATCTCACATTCCTATCCGATATATATATATATATATATATATATATATATATATATATATATCTGTCAGACATTGGGAAGCTGAATAAGCACAAGCGTATCGCAGTTTATCAAGGCAGGAAAGCAAGACAGATGCCTAGTATAATTTCAGAGGGAAGTTTCTTGAATGAAGCTCCAAGTACTCCAAGCTCGTATACGGCCTTGCAACACAATACTATTGATGAATCACCCGGGAAATCCTCTCTTTCTGATATATATGGGGTAATTCTACTATCACTATTAGCAAAATAACCCACAGTTCCTTAAATTTTCAAACATCTGCCTTTTCCCTGTATCTGGGATGTCAGACGAAGAAATTTATAGTAAACTGTAACAATACAAAGTGGGTTCTAACATACTCAAATTCAAAGAAATACGTTGGTATAATATAAATTATAAGTCCAATGAAAACAATAAGAATTTTATTACATTAATTTTATTATTATCAATGATCACTTGCGTTTCTTTATTGTCGATTTAAGAAAAACAATTCTTCATTTTTAATAAAAAAGCATGCTTTTTATTTTATATTTTTATTTTACAATATCATTTTGAATAGTTCAGTCAAAACTATTTATCTTTAAAATCTTACTTAAAATCTCAGAAAATAAATTGTTCTACAGACATTGATATAATTTAACAGTTTTCTACAAACTTTGAACAGTGTTAGCAATTTTGACAAATGCGTCATTTTTTTTCTCTTCCTCTCTCCATTTATAAAGAGGGAAAACACAACAATCTCTGTGCAATTACCGAAAATTGCGTCAGTTCGAGTATTCGAGGAAATTCAATATCACGGTGCCGTCTTTCGTGCGAAGATCGGGTCCGAGATTCGTGCCAAGACAAAAGAAAGGAGGGAGGAAGAAAGAAAAGAAAGCAACAGGATACTATGTTCGGTTACGTGGGAGTGTCACCGTGTGACGGCAAGCTATTTTCCCCGTGTCTCGATATCTAAAACGACTTTCAGAAAAGTTAAGAGCTGTATCTCAACAAAGAAATTCGAATGATTTTCTTTCTTCTTTTTTATATATATGTATATTTATATAAAAAATAAGAATCTATTCAAATTGAAAAATCGGAAAAAAAAGAAAATTACTGCTGAAATAGAGAAACAAGGGGAATAACGTTATACGTGGTTCGAATAAATATAAAGAGACTCAATTATTATTAATCCAGTTAATTAAATTATTTGCTAATCAAGTTTGCACAATACTCGGGTTTAAAATACGGTGGATCCATTTCGTCTCAGCAATAAAATCCCCATTGATTATTTTTGTGCGTCGCGCATTAAACCGAGTCATTGAACAATTTCCTGGAAAACGTGTCGAAAGCATTTGCATCACATTTTCGTCAATACAACACTGATTCAATAATTCCAATTGAAAGAGCAGGGTATAGGAAAAAATAATTGCTTTGAATACATATTGCTTGTTTTAACCTAAAGATTTGATCTATCCAGGTGAAGCTAAATTCAACCCTTCGATATAGTGCAAGTTATCTTATAACAAGAATAATAATATTAAAACTCAGAAAAAACAAATAGCTGTCAGATATAGGTTCAAACCATACACATTGTACTGGTGTTTTCTAATACATAAAACTAAAACCAGGTGTAGATTAAAAAAACTAAAAAGAAGAACGCTAAATTTAAGACTAAATCCAGAGATTAAGATGAAGTATTACGAACCATGCGATTACTCGGATTTTTACTTCTGAATTCCTTATTTTTACATTTTGGTATTGTTCTTATATTGCTATTATATTGTTAACATTCAACATTGTTCATGTGGCTTATAGACCCATGAGGATCCAAAGCTTGTACTCAATGAAAAAAGAAAGTAGTGCAAGATCCAATCGAATCACAAGCTTCGCCGAGCTTACAAGGCAAATCCTCTGCAAACTCGGTCGGTAAAGGGGCTAAAAACCGCTTACACGTTAATCTCAAACCGCCATCCTTCCTGCTCGATCTCCGTCTAGCTTGAAGATTCTGAAAGTTCCAGTTGCACGCCAATTTCGCTTTAACTGATTGCAGTCCCATAATCTGGGTCTCTCAGTACCAGGAGATGCGTGTGAAGGAGAACAAGAACGATCAAGACGCGAGGAACTTTGTTCCAGTCTGTTTGACGATGGCCGACAGTAGCGCCACTGTGGTATTCTTCTTACTTCTGGTCCTCGTCTTCTATATAGCGCCACTGCTGATCCTGCTGATCCTGTACACTTTCATCATCAGGCAATTAATGCCAGATCCCAGTAATACAAGCGACTCTTACCATACCAGAGCAAAGAAGCACGTGATTACAATGTTACTATCGGTGGTTATCAGCTTTTTCATCTGTCTGTCGCCATACAGGATTCTGATCTTTTATATAGTGATCGCACCAGCAGAACAGATTGCTGCCATTGATCGAGACACGTTCTTCGCTTTTCTTAACTTTAGCAGGATCATGTTTTATCTGCACAGCGCCATTGATCCGATATTGTATAATTTAATGAGCAGTAAGTTCAAAAAAGGATTTTTGGAACTATGCAGAATGAAGAAATGTGCCAAGAGAGGATTAAGGAGCAATATGACCGGAACTAGGAAAATTGATAGTAGTGAACAGGAAGAGAACTTTGTGTGATACTTTCTTATGTAACCGGTATGATGTTTTTGCTGTACATTTACATTTTCAGTCGGCATTAATTAGAGAGCGTGATCTCACTTACAGTATTGTAAACAGCTGCTTATGTGATTGTATTAAAGAACGGCATTCTTCGAACAAATACTGTATTGTTGTGATATGAACTTTTATGTACTTTTTATATGTTACTTACCGATGGTAACCTTTTTCGAATACGATTAAGAATATTTAATAATAACATTCCATGTTTCGGCTCCAAATGAAATTACTGTAGTAAATTTATAAAAATATTCGGAAAATAAAACCTGAGAAAAATATACTGATATGTTACCATATACATTACTATAATACTTATTGTATATATAACTATGTATAATATGTGAAGTATCTCTTCCAGAAAAAACTATGAAAATCTACTAAAAAAATATACTGAAGAACTGCCTAAAACTACTGACTATGACTGCTTTTCCAATAATGATTTAATTACGTTAGTTCCAGCGCTACTATTTCATCAATATAGCTAGTAATTCATTTGTACTGCTTTAGCTACTGCTGGCAATTACTGACCAATATTAAGCTCGCAGTAGTGCAACTATCAAAATCCAATAATACATTACTCTAAATCAGCTTCTATTATATTGACCAGCTAATAATATTTCTCTGCAAGAGATATGAAAGAAAAATAACAAATATTTAAAAACTATACCATATACGAAACGAAAATAACATATATCACCAATCATTTAGATAAAACGTCTGTTCACAGCCCCATTCTACTGATGGTCAAGTACGAAGAGGAAGAAAACTCGAACGGTACGTACATTCCGACCTGCAGCACAGTTGCAAATTCATTCTGGCCGATCAGTTTCGTTCTGTTCACGATAATCGTGTTCTTCGTGGTACCGCTGCTGATCCTTGTGGTTCTGTACACGGTGATTGCACGACATCTGATGACGAACTCGACGATTAGCCGTGGCTCGTCCAATAACTTGCTCAAATATCGCAAGCAGGTGATGCTGATGCTAGGGACAGTGGTGTTTTGTTTCTTCCTATGCTTGTTACCATTTAGGGCACTGACACTTTGGATCTTGGTCGTTCCAATTAAAGTAATCCTCGACTTTGGTATCGAGCGCTACTTCACCCTGCTCTATTTCTGTCGAGTGATGTTCTATCTAAACTCTGCCATTAACCCTATCCTCTACAATCTGATGTCCACGAAATTCAGGGAAGGTTTTCTCAGGGTTTGTGGTCTGGGCCCCAATAGGAAGAAAAAGAAAAAAACGTCGGACAAAACTGGTACTTATACTACTGGCTCGACCAATTGTAGTAGCAATCAGTCTGATTTCTGGAGGAGACATAGCAGTAATAAGAGCAACAGCGTTAAGGCACCCTGCAACAACACGACCGCGGAGAAACAGATTAAAGTGCCACTTCAGACGACGGTTGTTAGTGGAAGTATCGTCAGGAAGAAACAGGAGAGTTATGTTTGAAAGGATAAAGTGGGAATATAACGAGGATAATTTCTAAGACTGTGATCTTTCGAACCATTCCATGATATCGTAGCATAGTCGGTGGAAGAGATATGGTAATGAAGTTGTAAATTAAAGACTTCAGTGTTAGCATCTACTAATAGTGTTGTGTTTAGGGCTGTATATAGGATAATTTCCTTGCTAGTTGATTGCATGCTGCCAATCGCACCGCGTATTACACTCGTCTTCATTTTCCATACCTGCTCTCCTTAATTTAAATGTACTATTTATCATTTTCAAACTGACACCGACTTGGCTATATCAATTCCACTGATTATACTACTTAACGTCGTTCGTATTCGTATGTGGATTGTATATTGTACATATATACAGGCTTTTTTCGAAATCGTAGTTTCAGTGACATTTATTTTAATTCTTTACAAATTGTTGAAAACGTCGCTCTTGGTGCCGCAGACAGATTTTTATTCGGCAAATCCTATACTATCCTTTTTTTCATGGTCCCCAAGATTATCCCATCTTTTACGTCCTATATCTTACATCCCGTATTCAATATCATCCAGCCCATAACCAATTGACATTACCGGGTGAAACCGGACCACCGGACTGAGATGACTGAAGAAAACAAACTTCATTATGGTTCTGATTTCTATATTTTACATTTTGTACACATTCTTTGAGTTTTTTGTTACGTCTAAGTTGAAAGAGTAGAATTATTCAACTTACCACGATTTCGGAAACATTCTGCACTTTATAGAAACACTATTTATTAAAAACTAACCTAAAAGAAATTTAAAAATGCTGGAATCATTTATTTAATATTAAGTACCGACTATCTGGTAGTCTATTTCAATTATTTGTACCTTCAATAGCGTGAGAAAGAGACCTAAAAATGCTTATGTTATTCATTACCAAAAAAAAAACATTAATCCACATAAGATTATGAACGATATATTAGGATCGAATTATCGTTGCATAGAATTTTGGAATCTGTGATCACTAATTATATAACCGTGTACCGAGTAAGTATTAGAACAAAGATGAAACAGTTGTGTCTTCGAATTGAAGAAAAACTAAAGATAAGCTATACGATAGATAAAATTGATTAATGTTTAAGAACCAAAAGGGATCTTAAAAAGATCTTCTCTTTCATGTTAGCCAAGATTCGTGTGATTTGCCAAAATTGTTTGTTCTAATTTCTTTAGTGAATTTTCATCTTTATAAATGTACAAAATGACAAATTAAGTTTCTACGGAAATTAAGTTCCTATGCGCTTATCGAACTACGTACATATTCGATTTATATTTATAATTATGACAGATATTACAACAATTAGAGATATTTTTAAACTGTATAGATAGAATTTTCCATGAAGTAAAAGTATTGAGGAGGTGACGAAACTAGTCTTCGAGCTTTAAATAATTATTTATTTAATTACAGTCTCTGCGGAACATATACATCGATATTTTTGCCATCGCGCTAACTATTAAAACTTTATTGCTCATGACGTAGCAATAAATGGCAGGTTGATTTAATTGTACATTAAATCATTCCAGTAGTCTTTAAAAATTGTATAATGTTCACTTTTATTTTTACAATAGGAATCAATTACCGTAAAAAATATTTAAATATCTAGGACGCTTAAGCTGGAGCAGGTAAAACAAACTTCTTAATGCGATTTATATGCTATATGTATAAATTTCGTTCCTAATTGACTGCAAAGCGTTCGTTTTCAATAGTTTATAGATCATTATTGATTTTTATTTATGCGAACTATTTACAAAGAGACACTTTATTTTTATTATCCAAAATATATGTTTCTGTAAATATTTTGTAAAATAAAATTCGAACAATATTCATAATATCGGATCAACTAATTTTTTATATTAACACTTTGCATTTAACATTACAATGGAATATGTTTAATGTTACGTACGCTAATGTGATAATGTATATAACTTAATGATGTAGTTTTCCCATTAAATAAGTTACTTAAATATGATATTAAAAGGAAAACGCTAACGTAGCTAAGGCGAGATTATTCTATTAGTGAATTAAACTTTTCGTCGTATTTCACGAATATTATATCGTGTGCTAAATTATCAGATCTAATAACCATTGAATACACATAATAACCCTTTGACTCCATAAAACCGATCAACTCCTTTTTGCCTTCTTCAACATGAGAGAATTCAACAGAAAGTGTCTGAAAATTTCGTAATTCAAAATTTATGCAAAGATAATTAAAAAATAATAAAAATAGTAACAAAATTTAAAATTATAATTTTTTTCTTAATTTTAAATTAAGTTAAATTCACCTCGATATTTATCATGTCGAAAGGAATCGTTTTTAATACTTGAAGCTCATGCCCCTCAATGTCAAGACTAAAATAATTTACTGTAGTCACATTAAGAGCAGCCATTAAATCTATAAATGGAAAACATTGAACTGAGATGTGGACACCACTGTGGGCAACATCAGGAGAATTTGGTAAATGGCTATCAGAAGCATTCAGCTCGTGGAGACGTCCAACATTATCGGCCATCAAGAAGGAATTCTGAAAATTGCACAATGGATATATATATACATATATGAATAAAAAATATATACATATATGAATAAAAAATATATACATATATGAATAAAAAATATGAATATTGCAAAAAATAAGGTAACTTATTATATAATTTTCTGCAACAAATTACGAACTTTCGTACCACGGAGGGAAATGGCTCAGTGGCAAGGCACGTAGGTGTTAGATAAGCTTTTCTGTTTTTTCTCAACATTTTACTGAAATTCAAAGGATCCGCCTCTACCAGAAGACCATTCCAATCGAAGTATCGTTCCAATACCAATGTGTTACTCCGAGTCTCCCCGTCGTAAGCGCCACATTCTACGAAGAAGCCATTTTTCTGTAAACAAATTATCAAATGTTTGCGTTTTCAGTTGCCACTTATTCAAACATCGAGAACTAAAATACATTTCTCTTAAATTGAATTGAGATTTCACTGAGAGTATTTTTTTTTTTTTTATCAATTTCAATTTAAGAATACTTGATAACAGAAATTTGAATAATGAAAATAAAGATATTTGAATTTTAAAATCATTGACAATATTTCTTTCTCTTCGTTACGTAGGAAAAATATTTGACAGCAGAAATTTTATATTAAAAACATCTGAAAAATTCTTTAATTGAGACTATCGACGGTAATTTTTTTTTTTTACCAATTTTATATTAAAAATATTTGATAGTAAAAATTGTATATTAAAAGTATGTATTTAAAAAATATTTGAATATGAGACCATTGATAGTGATTCTTTTTACTGATTTCATATTAAAAGTATTATAATTACACAATATTTTAATATTACCTTATCTTTGAAAATTTTTCGAATATGTTCGGCTTGGCCCATCGATTGATCTTCGATTTCTGGATTTTCAAGGTTGTATGGTTGATCCGGATTGTATTCCCGAAATATCCATTGTCGACGAATATCGGTCATGTACCGCTGCCAATGTGCCGGATCCGATGGTGACTGTATTTTGCCATTGTACCATTTAACAACTTAAAATAATATACATAATCAGATTAATCAGAATTATGGCCAGATTTTAATTTGTAATTGAACTCTGGAGAAAACATTCGATAAATATGTATCAATTTGTCATATAAGTAAAAGTACGAGAGTTATGCATATTTAATATCCCGTTGCTTGCAATGTCCTTGATGTAGTGTCCTTAACATGCGGTATTAATAACATGACTTGATAACTAAATAGCATGACATAAACACAGACTGAACAAATTAATTCAAACGTTACTAGTTGTAAACGTGACTGAAATGGCTGAGACATCATTGGAAAAGAATATGCATATGCATCAGACCATAGAAATTATTACTGATGAAACTGCAGAAAGGCTACCTTATCTCCAATTTCGATGATTTTTGGATATGTTTTAAAAATCGATATTGTGAATAACTTTTCTTATACATATTAGCGGCAATCTTAGTTTCTGAGATATTTGCAAAAAACTGGCGGTATCACTACCAATGAATTCTATCTGTAGTTGTACCTTTGTAGCAGCGTATGTGTACGATTTGGTTACCGGTCACCTAATCTTCTGTTTATAAATGACGGTGGACTAGCCTAAAGCATCGCGCATAACTTCATATACAAAACTGTAAAAAATGTCTGTTATAAATTACACGAATATGATTAATGTATTGGGTTTGAGTTTCAGTTAGAGTTTTCAAACCGGCAGCCGCAAGGTAACCGGCAATACTTGGATAAGCTAATAATAGATTAATTATGAAAATTATATACGAATGAGTATTTGATACTATTTTACGAAACGGAATAATTGTTATTACTTTACGTAAGAGTTGCTGGTCGCTTTGCAGCGGCCGAATTGTAAAATCGAATCCAAACCTAATGCACTTATGATATTCGCTCTTAATTGAATTATAAGTTATAACGGACATTGCTTACGAGCTCGCATTTGCAGTTGTGCATAGGGCTTTAAACTCGCCCGACTCAGCTTTACAAACAGAAAATGAGGAAAATGGCGGCCAGCATCCAAACTAATACATACACTGTTACGGATGCAAAAGCTATAGGTAGAAATCACTGTAGTAATACCGAGAGTTATGTGCGAATATCTCGGAAACTAAACGAGACCGCCGACTATATATGTGTATTGGGTTGGCAACTAAGTGATTGCGGATTTTACCATTACCACCTAATGATATATATAAGAAAATAAGTGTTCAAAATGTTGATTTCTGTATCATATTTCAAAATCATCGAAATCGAAGATGATTTTTTTTATCTATTTTTAAAGAATTTCATAAGATTACAATTAACGATATACTAAAAAGGATGTGTAATCTAAAATATCATTTCAAATTAAAAATTTTAAAAATAATAGTAACAGTAATTGATATTACCGATCAAGCATTCCTATCGAATATGTATTTATAAACAAGGACAATAAATATTTGTAACATTTGCTAGCCTCAATCTATATTTATTTTAATTCGATCATTCCATAACCAATTACTTTTACAAACGTCCGCGAAACAGATGTCTCTTAACTTCCTAACAGGGTATGAGGAATATCTCGGTATGTCAATATAGCTATTTCAATATATATAGGAAAATATTTCAAGTTTAAGAGGTTAATAACAATAATTCATAGTTATGCGTAAGTGCATTCAATTGAGATTTCGATCAATTATTTTTTTACTCTGTTTATACTCCTGTAGGTCAACAATATATCGTATAACACGATCTTGGCAATAAAGATCTTAGCAATAAATGATCGATAGAGAGACGTTATCAATTGTTTTGATTGGTAATGATGTAAATCATACATTAATAAATCCAGATTGAATACAAATGTAATTCGAAAGATTAAGATTAATATTTGTAACTTTAAACAATACTGTTATTATGTTACGGAAATTCTATACCCCTGTGTAAATATAAAAAAAGTGTTCTTAATACGAAACCATTACGAAATTAACCTAAATACGTGAAAAAATTTAGAAACAAAAGAACAAATTAAGCAATGTTGTATAACGTTTTATGATTATTGCTACATTATTAAATCTTTTAAAAATGTAAGGTAAATAATTAATTTTCTAAACTCACCATTGGTAAAGTTATACCACCTATTAAGGACTGCAACAGCAGTAGAAACAAATTATTATTAATAATATACTTGTTTAGAAGTTGCACGTCAACAAGAATATTGTCATATGTTTCGTCATGAATTTCCAATATTTTCCACCGGTAAATCAGTCTATTATTTTATTAGTTTTTAAAAAATATTTCTTTCATATCAATAAAAATATTCCTCGTCCATTGTTATATTCTTATATTATAGTGTTCTTTATATATTGATTTCATGTTTGTTATTATTCAATTCTTATTTTAATATCACTCTAGTCGATTTTACCAAATTCATTTACCACTTAAATTTTATTCTTTTGCCATGACAATATCCAAGTAGATACACATTGAATAATAAATACGTACCATCTTGATTTAGCTCCTCCGAATACGCATTATGTCCTAACTGATTCAAAGGAAAATAGGACGCGAATATGAATTGCCGAATTAAAATAATCGAACCGATGCCTAATAATGCAATCACCGCGTACCATTTCCACCGGTTCCAAAATGGTCTTAAAATATAAATGTACGCATGCTGACTGTGGGAATCTGTACCGGACATTTTTTTTTAACAGTCACAAGCTCGCAACAGGTTGCTACCGTACATGCGGTGACAAAGACAAACTGGTGTAAGGTCGTAGTCCACGAAACTATAACGAGAGACTGAATTACTTCACAATAGTTCCCAAAACTGCGAGAGTTGGCCAGTAGATCGTAGATAAATTAATCAAAATATTACTTCAAATACTATTCAATTTTCAATTTTGTCATCATGTACTTTTTTTTAAATTAAATAAAAATCCAAAACATCGTTAGAAGAAAAGATTGATTCTCATCATAGTTCACTGAATATCGATCGTCTGTTGTTTTAAATATTTCGTTGGAATATATAAATAGAGGTTATGATTTAAAAGGCACGGAATACATAATAGATTCTTAAGATAATGTTCTTCACTATCACTTGTATTACACACACATACATACATGTACACAATTTTAGTATAAATGTAGTTAACTGCATAAAAGAACGAGAACGTATTGCGAATAACACTCCAGCAGAACTCTGAATGCCACACACCTTAATTCGGGAGTACGCTGTATAAAGAGTAATTTTACACGCGATTGGCTGTCGAAAATGTTTCGCCTGGTAGGTGTACTAGAAGAACAGAAGCACACAACGCACGCTTATACTTAAAGATATTAAATCTACATATGCATAGCTAGATGCTTACAAAATAGTCACCGAGTTAAATCGTCTGTATTCGGTCTATATTCTTCCTGTTAAATGATTCACTACCAACTGCTATCGAGAAAATACAGCGAATAGGAAATTCGATGACGTTCCGATAACAAATATTGGTCGTGTTGGATAATTGCCATAAAAGCAATATGTATATGTATGTATATATATATTTATACTCCAATAAAATAGATATGCGAAGTGTAAGCATACAAATATATACCACACAAAGATATTTGCATTGGATAAGGGCTCCATTTTAAGTATATTAGATTTAAATACAGAGAGAAGTGTTTCTGAAATTGTAGAAATGATAATAAAGCATGTATATTCGATTCAATAGAAAACTGTATTAACGACAATTGGTTTTATGAATTACTGTTTCATCTACAAAGTAAACTATAAATTAACTATAAATAATTATCCACTTTTTTAACTGTTGGTAAAATCTAATATTAAAATGTTAAGTAAATACAGAAACTTATATATTAAATATAAAAACAATTTATCAATGCAATATGGCAAACCATAGTTGACTAATGAATATGTAATGTAACATCAAAATAGAAATTTCGCAAGACAAATGCAATTGTTTAGATAAATAACCTTAAAAAATATATAATATTTTAAAAAATGAATAACCTCTATCTCTTCGAACGCTTGAAAGCAACTGCTACAGACGTTTGCTGCAATTGCCTATTATATACATACTTTTTAGTTGAGTTATATTTCACGCAAATTTAAAGTAGCCTCAATTTTATGATCGACTTCTTATAGTAAATAAAATTTTTCAATCATAAAATTATTAGATGTAGTAATACATATTTATGTATTCAATTAAGTAAGTTTAATCCTACGTAGCTCTAACAGCATGTTTAATTTACTGTTAGGTTATGTCACGTTATGTATACGTATGAATTGTAGCTTCTTTCAAATATATACTGATCGAACAAAAACACTTTATAGAACAAAGAATCTAGCGATTAAATGAAATGACTGGAGAAAGTCATTGCATGTATTTTGTGAAGAGAAAAAAACGTTATTGCCGTATGGTAGTGAAGGAAGGAAAGAAGTATTGCGGCGAACATCAACCAGTTTCATTAGAATTTAATCTTTCTGATAAAGAAGGATCTGAAAATAAACGAATAAAATGTCCACTTGATCCGACACAGTGAGTTTATGTCTCTGTTATAATAAATATTTCATATTTCGTTATGTATATAAAATTTATAGATCATTTCCAGTACATGTTATGAGTCTAAGCTAACTAAACATTTGAAAGTATGCAATGCAAAACGCTTGATTGATGCACAACCATCATTTATCGTAAAAGGAATTAATGCTAATAAGACTTACGAAGCACCAAGACACATACCACTCTCTGAATTAAATGACCTTATAATAAATACAGTTATAGACAAAGTAAAAACTGTTTACGGTTAGTAATACATACATATGTAAATTCAAAACTTGAAATTAAAAAGTGTATAATTCTTTAATCCTTTTATAGAAAAGTTACCCCAATTTCATAAAATAGTATTGGAACATCCAATACTTAAAGATAAAATAAATAATAATTCTTGTGGAAAAACTATTAAGAAACATCTCTTACAAAATTCATCATTATTATCACACTTGGAACGTGTAAATCTTATAAAAGACAATACATGCTTTATTGAATTTGGAGCAGGAAAGGGTAAACTAACTTATTGGTTGGGCCAAATAGTGAAGCATAAAAAAGACTGTTGTATTTTATTGGTAGACCGTTCAAGTCACAGACATAAGAGTGATAATAAATTGAAAAATGAACAATCTTCTCTCTTAATAGAAAGAATACGTGCTGACATTGCTGACTTGAAACTGAATGATATAACAGGAATTAAAAAATTTGAACGTAAAGTTGGTATTGCAAAACATTTGTGTGGAGCAGCTACAGGTATATATATATTTTTATATATTTCTAATATTATATTCATAATATTTATATTAAAATTACTAAAAAAAATTATTTCATAGATTTAACTCTAAGTTGCTTAGTTCAAGCAATGCAAAATGAACCTAAATGCAATGTCACTGGTATAATCATTGCATTTTGTTGCCATCACAGATGTGAATATGCATCATATGTTGGGAAAGAGTATTTAGAACAGTCTGGATTCACAGCAAATGAATTTACAATTTTATGTAGCATTGCTAGCTGGGCAACTTGTGGCTCTGATCTAAACAAGGCAATTAATACTCCAGAAATTCAAAATGATTCAGGAGAGACAAGGTAACATATTCATGTTAAAATTCCAAATATTTTTTATAATTAACCATTAAAGATAAAAAAAATATATTATTTAATATTTTTAAGAACAAACATAAAAACTTTAACCTCGAGTGAAAAAGAACAAATCGGCCGAAAAGTAAATTCATTATTGAATTGGGGTCGCTTGGAGTACTTAAAAAAAGTTGGATTTCAAACTAATCTAATTTATTATACCACTACCGATGTATCACTAGAAAATATGTGTATCGTGGCTACAAAAGATGAAATATAATAGTGAATTAATATAAACAAATAACATGAAATAAATGGCTTAACTTTAATTTAAATAAACTTTCATTATAACAAAATGGAGTTTATCCTTTTCAACCAATCCTTCATTTAACCAAAATTGTTGAAGCATTTACAGATTAGGAATGCGGCTTTACGTTACGTTCTCAGTTCTAGGGAAAAGTACGTTGCTCATTGGTGTTCGTGAAGCGCTGAACCGCTCTACTCACCGGAATGTGCGAAATTGAGAAGACTTTAGATTTATGATTTACTCAAAAACCTTACACTTCGCGTCAAAAATTAGTTCGTCAAGAATGCAAGAAGACTAATTCTCGAGAATGAATAAAATTGATCTAATTCGAAAAACTGGTTCTTGTTTGCGAAGTCGCGGTTTCTGCTCATGTCCTCGTTTCTTTGCTTCGGATCCCCTTCCCTGCTCATCCTGATTCAATATTGGGTGGGGTTTCTCCCCGTTCATCGAAATCTCATGTTTCGGGTCCATCCACTACTGAGTCGATGGAGATGGAAAACGCTTCGATGGGCCAACCAGAAAGCGACGGGTACACGCATGTGAAGGGAAATGACTGCGAAAGAAATATGTACATAACTTGGGAAAGACAATAGAGCAGACTCTTTCAAGCACTGTACGTGACCTGTCTCACAATTGCTAATTCGAGACAGCTCCCAACTGAACGTTACTTAATGAAGTACTTCCTGTCTGCCGACTTCTGACTTTCTCTCATTTTAGACAATGCAGATTTTTCTATTCATGTAGACATAAAATCAATCGATTTAGAATTTTATTCCTAATTTATATACACAGACTGACTTTAGCTAGCTAAAACTAAATTTACAAAGCAAGTTCTTGCGATAGCGTAACACGACTATTTTATTCTATCGCTACATGTGAACACTGCATAAAGCACTCATTTCCCCCACCATATACAACGCCCCGCCCAAATACAACTTAGTGTAACAGATTCTAATGCATTGAGTGATGTGAGTAATTGTGATAGTTACGTCGTTGCATTAATGTTAGTAAAACTACTTTATATATATTATTAATTAATAAAAGATTTAATTAATGATCGGCAGAAGAACGAAGAACGAAAGAACTATTTGAAGGTGCGTATTATGTAATATTGATGTTATTCTCATTTATTCATATTGAGGTTCCCTAATTTCTTTTTTTACGAACTGACTACATATCTTTTTGAGGATAAATCAGTATTACTATAATTTTTGGCATAGTTATTATTTCAAATACAATGTAATCAATAATGGTAATAGTAAACAATATACACACACTTTAAAGTATCTCTAATTTCGTAATGTTGACCTTACGCCACGCCTTCATTACTTTAAGTGAATGACGCGAGATTGTATCTCTAAAAAAAATGGAGTTTTTGTATTATAAAAATGCAAGACATTATTCAGTTTTTGAAATATACATTTTTTAAATCTCTTGGAAGACATGTATTTATTTTGTTAATTGACTATTTATTATATACTTTTTAAATGTTGAGTGATGTTATTATATGATTAAGAATATTTGTTTATTCTTTCCAATCAACTTTTTAATTATTGCTTTAAAAATTTTGGTGTAAGTTTAAGCATTGAAGGGAAAATCATCTTTGTTTTTTCAGAAGAATCTCAGTCTAAAATTTATAAAATGTCCATTTTAGACGAGCGAGAGGATTATCTGAAGAATCCATACTTTGTGAAGCACGAATATGGTGATTTTACTCCATTTTATGTCACTGTCACTATCTGTTCCTTCATATTTGCATTCCTATGCATTTTGAACATTGGATTTTGTTGGTGCTCCCGTCATAGGAATTATTGGCAAAGTCCCCATACAGGTAACTTTTATAAGATATTTTATTCATCTTTCATTTACAAATGATCTTATAATCTTCTCCTTCTTTTTACGTAATTAGGAAATAGGTGGATTCAACCATTGTGGACTGTATTACCTCATAAAACACCACCTTTGGACTTAAGCGAGCTAGAACCAGGACGTCTTGTGACACAAGATAAACAAGAAGTTTTACAATATCACAATCCAAAACCATATGGAACCGTACCACAAACACAAGAATATATGGAGATGCAAAAACGTGAGAGTGAAATTTAATTAGACATTAGTCTTGATATTATGTGTATACAAAAGTTTACAAGCTCTCAAGAATATTAGTATCAAATTAAGAACATCACAATTATTTTACAATCATATAAACTGATCTACTGTAATAGCCAAAGTTGGAAAGTAGCAAGTGTACAAAGGTAAAACACAAGGTACACAAGGTAAAACTATACCTTAAAAAAAATCATTTAAGTATAAAATATGGGACTGCATATTTTTTGGCCAGCATCCACGTGTTTAACCCTTTTGGTTGTCTGTGTAATAATAATTTTATTAAGATACGGTTCGCGTATTTGTAAGCTACGGCATGCACCGTTGCCGTCTGATCGAGAATGGGAAGAAAAGGCGTATTCTCGAAAACTTTCAGTTTCTATGGCGTAAAATTAGATAGATATCACCATATGTTTTCACATCATGTTACGGATCTGTTTCGTATTAGAAAAGAATTTAGATTAAATTAGAATCTATTTTATCATATAAGTATGTGTTTACTATATATTTCACAGTAACACTTCAGATCTGAAAATTCTTCACAAGCATACCTTAAAAAAATTGCTTTGACAGCACATGCAGACAACATCAGTTTTCTACCTTAAGATAATGTATTTATGTGCCTTATAAATGTAATTCCATGTGTCTTTTATACGTCACCTTTTTATACATAGAGTAAGGAATTTTAACGAATCTCCGTCCATTCAAATTCTTTCTCTTTAATGACGATTTGTGTCATGAAAATTCGTAAAATATTTTCTTCTTCGCTAAGATAACTTCTAAACGTATAAACATTCATTTAAAGAATGATACGTATAACAAAGTAAGCAATAATTTTTAAATTCTGTGTTAAATTTAAATATATTTCATGACACAACATGAAAGAAAAGAAACAAAGTATTAGCGAAAGAAGATTATATAATTATATTGAAGAAATTAAGATCTGTATCCGTCCAATTTTTTAACGTTTTTATGCAATGGCAATTGTATCATTATCTTTGAAAATTTGTATTTTTTATATGATTTTCATATAAATAAAAAATGCTTGTCTTTACATAAAACATGCATGCATTGTATGTGTTTCACTTATTAAAAATTCAAATCAATTTGCTTTGACTGAAAATCAAGAGATTCATCAACAGTTTTGTATATAATATTTAGTTTTTATTGACAACATTGGATTTTTATTACATGTGTAACGGTTACACAATTATTTAATAAGTAAGTAGATACATTATACAATTTTTGCGTTCAGTTATAACGTCAGCTTGTAAATAAATTACTGACGACAATTTCCCACGAGCTACGAGATATTTGATTTAAGAAATATGAATTTGATTCGATTGCCTAGGGCCTAGGCAACTAAAACCTGAACTTCCTATTGAAGACATCTTTCTTTCGAACATGCCCTCCTTAATCGACTAATATTTCCCGCTTTCTTTTGATCTGATTTAAACTCGTCCGCGACTACTATATAGAAAGATACCGAGAACAGAATTTCTCCTCCGGTTTTATTAATTGGTTTCAAATTCGCTAAACATGTTCAATCTATTAACGTGAATACTATGAATGATTTAAAAAACTTCGAATGGCATAATCAAACAATTCAATAACACAAAATTGGAAAGACTTTTGATTATGTTGCAAGTACAATGATGGATCGAAATTTGAAAAAGCAATTAACGCTTCCTCTCGCCATGATACTTCACTCGCGTTTTAAGAGCAATTTTAATCTCTAATCGTTAGCGTACGTTCTATCGTTATTATGCTATGTTACAATGCGTTTAAAACACGAAGAACTTCCATCGAGTTCCACACAAATAGAGGTCAAGCATGTTATTATTTAATTACGTTTTAGTAGACGTTTAATGGTAGTTAATTAGAAGAAACCATAGAACGTAATGCTATCTTACTCTATCGATAGATTCGTTTTTTTATCTTTTCTTTTTTTTATGCATAATGATGATATGATGTACATATGTAGTCTAATCTACGATCATTGATACCGATCAATACGATCGATCCGTATAGTGCGCGTGTTCGCTGAGTTGTTCTTTTTACTTTTCTTTTTATACAGATACGCCGTATATATCCAGCATCATTACCTGAATCAGCTGACTTGACTTTGCCGAATTTTTCTCTTGTTTTGTATACATCTAGACTTAAAAACAAATACAATCTTGTACTGGGGAGGGGGAAAGGTTTGATTTCTATAGTTTCAATGGAACACCTCGTAGAGACGAGTTCTAATTAATTTAATTAGCCCCCGGATCTACGAGATGCTTGAGACTTTGCATTATGTTAATTTGATTTTCATGCTCATTTGGCTTTCGTTATTATTAAGTTTTTCCATTCAGAGATAATACGAGACACATATAACGACTGTATATATCGACGTTTCATTTTATGCAAGGTTTACGTCTTGTCGAGAAGAATCATTAGTACATATCGGAGAATGGTAATAATTATTAAATCGTGCTTATTACGTAAGTCGCTGATTCCCAAACTTAAGGACGCGGCAGTTTTTAAATAACACTTTCCAAATTATTTCATTTCAACGATTACGAGAAATATTTATTTAGTTTTAATTATAACTCCTTCCCTTACAAAAGAGTAGTTTCTTTTCTTTTATCATTATTATAATTAAATTTATGAATTGCGTTGGAACCTCGATTATGTCCTAATAAAAATAAAAACGTCCGAGAAGTTTGGAAACCTTTGGATGTATAAGACATAGTTAACATCGAACACTGTATATTATCTATGCGACAGTTGAGAAGATATAATCTTTGTCCACAAACATTGTACCTGGTTTTAAGTATAAATATTGTCAATGAAAAAATAAACCGAACAGAGAGTCAGCTTAAAACACATTACGCGTAAGAATGTGTGCGGAAAAGACTTCTAGCGGATTCAATGGATTGAATATTTGCGTCAATAGCGAGATCGTTTATTCTTTAGAGGAAGACAAAGTTAATGGGCATTTTAAAAACATAGAGTTTATTATTTTGTTCCTTCAATCCTTCGTTCCTTTAATCTTTCGACGCATACTAAAAAAAAAGATAAACTACTTCTAACTGGGGATTTCTAACACGCTATGATCGATAATCATATAACGCTGAAAAATCGAATGGGTTCGTAACGAGATGTATATTCTAGCAAGAATATATTTCGCGAAGAATCTCAACGGCAGTAGTTTCGTGTTGATTCTTGAAACTAGAGGTTTACCATAGCGTATTGCTATACAATTACTATATCTTGGAACGTTTTATCATCGGTATAGTAGCATAGTCTAGTAATCGTAATAAAAAATACAAAAAAGAAAGATGGTTTTCTTAAAAGAAGTAACAATCAACTATTTTATCACTTATATTTACGGCTAATCATTGAATTACTTATTATATTTAAAGACTCGACAACCAAAAAATGGAAACCAAGTAAAAGAATGAAAAAAGAATATTATTATAATAAGGAACAATAAGGAATGTTAATGACTTTATTATGCTACTGTATCGAGGACAAGATCCGTAATATTCACATGTAAATTGGTACACAGCAATTACAGAGTCGGCAGAACTGTTAAGAACAATATTGAATGCAACTATGCTGTTTACTGCATATTCGCATAGTGATTAATAACATTTGGCCACATATAATGGAAGTAATTCTGAAAACAGCCGACATATACGATCGATAATTATTATCGACGATCGAGCTTGTACCGACAGCAACGTTCGAAGACGTTCGAAAGTCAGATTTACAGATCGTATTTGAGAAATTTCTTTTTTTCAATTACAATCACTGCCAGTACTATAAAATACAGAACGTTTCCGTTTCTTCGTCCATTTCATTTCATACGCTCACGCTAAATAGTATCTGTTTGAAAATTAGAGTTTCACATGGAAAAGACAAGATTGTGTTTTCGTTGCCTGTTGTCGAAACAGATCGCCGCGCACCATTTTGTATGATCGACGATTTTTTCTGTTTACTGCTTACCCGACTTCTTGCTTGCTCGTTCTCCTAAAAAAATTACAATTTCATTAAAATTATAAATCGTAATTTTCAAATATTTATAGATATTAGGGGCTGAAAATGGAAAATTACGAAGATAATATTTGACCATTGTTTTCTAGAATCTATTCTTTTTGCCAATATTACGTATTTGTAAACTTAATAAATATCTTTTCGTAAGCTTTCAAATAGCTTCTTGCTGAAAAAATTGTTTGAGTTATGATATTTTTGAAATACGTACATGTGTGATTTATTCGTTATTATCGATTGCCGATAATAAATTTGTAACTTACAAAACTGAATGAGTTCAGTAATTACGGGTCACGATTTAGAACAACGAGATATTGATTAACTGTGTTAATCACGTTAATGTACTTATCTGATACATTATTCGTACGAATGTTTTATGATCCAGTAAAAAGAATACATTCATAAAAGAAAATTCATTGAGAAAAAGGATCAGTACGATGAACAAAATGTTCTTCTTGGACGTATGTCCTCCCTATTCAAACATTTGGACGGAACATTTATTGCTGCTATTGTCTGATCGTGACCGCATGAAAAAGCTTCAATAAGCTATCTTTAACTCTATCAATGCCATCGTCAAGCATGCTCGACGAAGCGAGGTATCGTGAATCGTGACACCAGTGTCGATCTTTAAAGTACAACTACGCACCATTGCAGAACTCTGAACTTCAGACAATAGGGTTGTTGCGTCTTTTAATAAAATTTCAAGGAACATCTTTTTCGCTCCGTTGCATTATATCAATGACAAATTATCTTTTCTTGGCGCCATTGTTGGTTGTGTTCGAAAGTATAGTACGTCTGGTGTATACTCAAATTATTTCGAACGATATTTTGCAGTTATTTTAACGTTACAGATATAATCGATATCCATCAAACAACGGAGATAAGAAATGGGGTGAAATATCTATTACGATTACTAAAATCAATGTAGATTTCAATAGATTTGTGGAAATATGTCTTCAGAATAGGAATTTAGTTATTTTAGAATTGTACATTACTAATTTTTTAAAAAATTACCTATTTTTTCCATTGTTTCTTTATGGACAGTTATCATATTAAATGATTATAGTTGATACATTTTTCAGGATCATATTTAATTAGAATACTTATATTTGAGGAAGAATGGCAAGAAAAATACCTTTAGGAGATTTTTTAGTGTTGGTCTCCGGTTTACACCTTTTGGTTAGCCGGCGCGTCTTTTCGCAGGAGGCGTCACTGTTTGCCTTCAAATTGTCCACTCTCGTCATCAGCTGATTCACGCATCCGCTCCACGTGCCCTTTTCGTACCGGCAAGCTATATTCCCCGCCGCACAGAGATAATCACAACGCCATAAACTCCATTATTCACTCACGATACAAGTTAAGGCGACAACGGTGCACATCTCATGTTACAACACGACACACGACCATAGATTCTCTTTTTTATTTTTTACCAATATCTTATTTGGTTTTATGAAAAATTACTTCTATCGAAATACTACTAAATTCGCTATTCGTTTTTGTTTTAGAAATTTCTAAGAGATGGTGACACTTTATTCATTGTACACGTTGAAAACATCGATCTGGGAATCTGACATTCGTGGCAATTTATTTTAATTTGGTTTCCCAAAGTGGCGTCCTTTAAAGCAAATGGTCGTCGCACGAAATCGAAATATCTGTGCGGCCATTGCGATAGATTAGATTCTAAATGTCACATTTAACTCGATCGAAAAGACGCGGGGAAACGGAGCGGCGTCCATTAAATTAAAAAGTTCCACGTCGGTGTGTGTACGTTGAACGTGACCAGTCTACGTTTGATAGCGCTGCTTTAACGAGCTTTTAACCACAATGTACTTTTCTTTCGATTCTTTTCATTTCATTCATTCTGATATACAATTGATCGCAAAAATATTCGAGTTGTATGTGAAGTAGGAACCTTCTACATATATGTATATACGTTTTAAATATATTATATCATACGAAATATTTATATTATACTTTTTATTTTTATACTATAGGAAATATTAACGAACCTAAATATATATTCATTAGAACCATTTTTAACATTAATTTTTTTACTAAATATATGTTCACAATAAATATCTCGTAATTTGCATATAAATTTCCAGACCGGTTTCAAATTTAACTAACACAATTATGACAGTGATTACGCACAGAAACATGACCATTTTAGCATGCCTTTATCACAGGGATTGTGCACCGTTGCCCGAAATTATCGATAAACTAGAAGCGTCCTTCTTCGTTCCGTTCAATTAATTAAGACGTTCCTGGGATTCTCGTTAATTAGTCAGGTCCATTAACTCTCGTTCTATCTAAAGAACTATTCAACCTCGTTCGTGTCTCCAAATTAAAGTGTGTATTAATTAGCGAAAGACACGTCGTGCATTGTTTATAATCAACGAAATACAAGCATGTCACGGTTAAATACCCTTATCAGATTTATCAAATAGCCTTTTTCTCGAATTTTATGAATTATATATGAGAGAATTCGGAATGGAATGGTGCATGTTAATGTTCCTTGATGAGAAAGTAACAAAGGACTGATTCCGATTATAGAGTTTTCTCTCCTTTATTAGTCATTCCATTTGCTTGAATTCCTCTTGTCCTTTGATAAAAAAATTTGTGAAAATCCTTTTGATAAATAAAATTAGTACTATCAAATATGATACTGTTCAGTGTTGTTACTTTGTCAAACATCACATTTTATTATAATTTTGTGATTTTTCAGAACATCTTAATTAATGAACAATATTTTTCCAATTTTTGTTACTAATCAATAAATACTAATATGCAATTTACTAATATGTAAATATTTATGTATTTATGGGAAATTTAAAAGTACAAAAATACATAGAATGCATATAGTATTAAAGAAATCCGCAGTCTACTAATCATATAAACTTCAAAAAAATTAAATCAAGAATGAACTAAAGAACGAGGGTTGCCAAAAGTGGAAATGAATAATGAATAAAATAAAAGTGGCTTACCTTTTTTACACTTTTTTTGGATGATCTTGATCTGGTCGCAGGACTTGTCTCCCTTTTTAAGGTTCAGTGTGCGGGACCGTGTGTTGGTTTTCGAGTCGCATTCCGACCATTGACCCTTCACGTATCTGCACGACGGAGGGCTACCGGATGCTGCGTCAACAGATGCAAAACGTCAATAGAGATAATTGGAGGCACGACCGATCAAGTGGACAGAGAAATTTCCGAATAAACAGGGCGGCACTTAATTACCACATAAGAGTTTAGCTCTTTCCTCAATCACCATTCAATATATTGCCCTAGGCAGATTAACTCTTTCGCAATTGTAACTGTTTCTCCATGGAATGGAAATCGTTTCAATTTCTATTTTCAAGGAAATGCTTCAGGCTTCAAGATGTGTAAACATCATTTCATTTTTTTTCTCTATAATTTATAACATTTCAAAATCTAGTAAAAAGATTTTGAAATACTAATCTGTATCTTAAAAATTGAACCGAAGTTTGAAATAGTCATATTAACTGTTAATACAATAACTTTTATACAATCACCGTAAGCTTCAAATATAAAATATAAAATGAACTATAATCCAAAAAGAAAATAAAAAGGAAACTTTACTATAACCAAAAATAGAAGAAACAATATTTAAAATATTGTCTTCTCATTATTAAACAAAAATAGACGCTACTATAAAACTACAACCTTCGTACTATTTTTTCTAACGTCGAATCTCTGATACAACTTCCTGCACCCCTAGAACAAGCAAGAACTCGGTAGAGTAAAATTACCGAGTTGGAGACGAGGATGGAAAACGTGCGAGTAGAAACTTGCAGCAACTAAAAGCCATAGCGCGCGCTTCGTAGCTCGACCTGTAATTCAATGTGATCCTCGAAGTTGGAATTTCAGCGTTGCCCTTCTTTCGGCGACTTGTTCCGCTCTGAAAAGGAACTCGAAGAAAAGCCCTTGCTTCCCTCTCTCACGCCCGCGCCTGTGACCTTTCGGAAGCACGATCCTGGACCGAATAAATTTCTAAGACCAAATGATCTTAGTTGACAATGAAGCGGTGCGCGCCACTGGATGATATTTCAATTGTATTCCCAGTCCTGGCCGCGGGAGAGGAAGCCCGAAAGATGAGAGAAAGAGCCGCATAGAGACAAAAGAGGCTTTTCATTCCGCAAGCCAGGGTTCGCGATACCACCGCTCAATCCGCACCGAGGACCGTCTTTTCTTGATATGCTATACGCTCGATCGACCTCGCCAATGTGTCGCGTTATCTTCAGTTTCTTTCCTGCTTTGTTTACTACTGTCAGTTGAGGATTGATTGTCTTTTTTTTGTTGGTTCGTAGAGATGTCGAGGATAAAAACTCGCGGAGGAAGTTTACAGGTCACCTGAACGATAAGGGTTTGGAGGTTATGTTGGTGGAAGAATGTATTTACTTGAAAAATTAAGAGCATAGAGTATAATACAGATATTTAGTAGCTGAGATTATGGCATGGAATCTAAAATGGTAAGAGTACTCGAATATATATCATATACTAACAATTTTTGAGTATGTATGTGAATACTAGAGCAAGTGTAATAAGTATATGGATTCTTAAATATTGAAGATCCGAAACCATCTGAAATATTATATTTCAAGTAGATATCAAAGTATTTGAAACGGCTAAAATATTCAACGTTCCTGAATATCTTAACCTAAACCCATATATATGTCGGAGATGAAAGAACACCGGAGCCTTTGGAATTTTGGATAATCCCGCAACATTGTAACCTAGAGTCTACTATAGCTGTAATTGAACAATTGTAATTATTCAATCCGATTGTAATTGTTCGAGAGTTATGATAGTGAGCTTGGGCTCGAGGCGTCAGTCAGTCGCCGAACGTAGCCGCGGTCACGAGATGAACGCTTTGTCTAACAAAGGCATGGAATAATTCTATAG